AAAGCCATATCGCGCAGTGTGAAGTCGCAGAATTGGGTAGGATGTTCTTTGCTTCCATGCTCAGCGTTTCGAAAGATTCTTTCATTTTTCAGCAAACGTTGGAAGCAATTTTCTTGTTCCTAAGGATGCCACACCCCTTCTGGGACTGATTCAGGATCATGTGGTGTCTGGTGTGCTGCTTACAATCAGAGGACGGTTTTTGACTAAGGTGACTTGGAAGAGGAGTCAAGAATAAGACCAAGATAACCGTCAATTTTGCAGGAAGACTTCATGCAACTTGTATTGTCAGCATTCGCAGAGCACACGAAGCGTATTGAGATTCCTCCACCAGCAATGTTAAAGCCGCGCCAATTGTGGAGTGGTAAGCAGGTGAGGTTTTCTTGAAGACAATCAGTGTTTGGAACGATTCCTACGGAAATGAGCTGAGGATTTTCAAAGTGCATGAGGATGGGCACCGAAAAATTCAATTTTTGCAGGTCATTTCTTGCATTGTTAAAAACTGCATTCCCAAAGGTCAACCGCTCATCAATCTCACTTCGAAATCAAAAACACCTCTGTCTTGTTGGAAAGTGCGCGGTTTCGACACTCCTCAACACAATATGAGTGAATCAGAAGTAGTATTCCGGTAAGAGATCTCATGCACTCAGTTTCAGGTTTTGTTTTGTTCTCCGTAAGAATCTGGGACGGCAATCATCGTGTACGCGCTCCCTTTTTACTGTTGTTTGTAGGTCTTGTTTTGAATGCCAGTAAAATGGTGGTGCAAGACCTTCCTACGTGAAGTGGTTCTACCTTACTTAGGCCCTGTTTATAGCTCGCGAATTGTGCGATTTGGCGAACATGTTGAAGCAGAAGCATATAAGTATGATCGAAGGATCGCCGACATCCTGTCTTCGAACGGTCATAGGACGGGTTGAATCCGATCGATGTGCAGCTTTCCACTGGGATCGCCGAGTCGCACAAGTCGCGAGCTATAAACAGTGCCTTGCAAGGACCGCTACACGAAGGCATTATTTTACAGGCAAGGTGAACTGCTGGTGGGTGTTTTGGATAAGCAACATTATGGTGCTACACAGTATGGTTTGGTTCACAGCTGCTTTGAACTGTACGGGCACAGAGTTGGAGTGCAAATCTTGTCATGCTTTTCTCGTCTGTTTACGACTTACTTGCAGGTGAGCACCTTAGACGAACGTTTTTCTGCTTGCTACAAATTTATTGCTACAAATTTATTTTTCTCGGCCTTGTTTTGCCTCCTTATATGGGCGAATAAACACCGGATAGCATTCGGTTTTTTCACCCGTAAAGATTAGAAGGTCATGTGGAAAATTAGCTTCGCTATCGCTATACAGATTGAAAAGGAATACTGTGGATCTACACTGGTGGATTCTGTTTATGAGAAGAACATTATGAGTGGAAACACTAGAATCCCTCTGTGAACAAATCGTGATATTCTGTTGACACAAGAGTTTTTTTTTCAGATTCACGGGTTCACTCTCGGTGTCGCGGATATTCTAGTTAGAAAGGATGCCGACAAACTCAGAAAGCAGGCCATTAGGGAGTCAAGAACGATTGGAGATCAGGTTAGCATTGTTCTGCATGATTTCCAAGCTTCCATGGAACTTCATGGCTAAATTTCTACTTAGTTATGTAACTCAAAGGTTAGAAATGAGGGAGAGATGCGTCATCTTAGGCCAACTATTACCAGTCCCAGCTGTAGTCGGCTGGTAGTTTTCACACCGCAAACTATGGCGAAAAACGGAGGCCAAAAGTATCAAATAAGAAATTCGGGTTTTATCAGATAGATAGAAGACCGTGTTGAATTGGTTTTTTCTCACATTGTTCTTACCATTTCTGTCTTCGGATGTTCTTCTTTCGACTGTCTCAACTACGATCTTCTACTCATAGGTGGTGCGCAATGCCTTTGGTCTCGACGAAAGTGTTTCACACGAAGAAATACATCGAATTTTGGCATCGACATATTGTAATCCAAGAGGACAAGGACAAGATGTGAAAATGCTGGATTACTCTATGAAACAAGCTATCGCCAAGTATAACGATGCCATTACAAAGTAAGTTGGTGGTTAAGCTAAGTTTTTGTTTTTAACTGTACAGTGGTTGTCAGCTACATAGGCTATACTGCCCACTGAATTCTACATGTTTCATTTGAGGGCTTGTGTGCCGGATGGTTTGATCCGGCAGTTTCCCGATAATGCGCTACAGGTCATGATTCAGTCTGGCGCTAAGGGATCGGCTGTCAACGCCATACAGGTAATTATCATTATAAATACTTCTGATTTTTCTTTTCTCTGTTTATTCCACATGGAACTTCACTATATTCGTATTTTAGATATCATGAATTCTGTTCCTTAAAACTTGTGTGTTATAACTCGAACACTTCTTGATAAGTTGAAGCTGTTTTTTCTTCAGATTTCATGTTGTCTTGGTCAGATTGAACTGGAGGGTAAACGTATGGCTGTCACAGTGGCCGGAAGAACTTTGCCATCGTTCAGGTTAACATTTGAAAGCTTTCAAGCTTTGTACTTCTTTCAGCTAGGAGTTTTCTATGAGCGCTCGATTTCAGAGCATTCGATCCATCACCTCGTGCTGGCGGGTACATCGATCAACGGTTCTTAACTGGAATCAATCCTCAAGAGTTATTCTTCCACACAATGGCCGGAAGAGAGGTGGGGCTTTTGAACATCACAGATTTCGTTTGAGCTAATTTGACCTTGATTTCGTTTTATGGAGACTATTCTATTTTACGATTAGGCAACGTATGTGTACGCTTCAGGGTTTAATCGATACTGCCGTCAAAACTTCTCGTTCCGGGTATCTGCAAAGATGCCTGATCAAACATTTGGAGGGCTTAAGGATTCATTATGATGGAACCGTCAGAGATCATGATGGTTCGGTCGTGCAGGTATTGTGTTCTCGAAAATTTTTTTCTTCCTTTAGTCACTCGGTTGAGCTACTCGGCGGACAGTGCACGCTAGGGTGAATTACTTTGTAATGCTCTACAATACTGCCCCTTTTTTATAGGGCTTCCTTGTTTCTTTCTCTGATCCTCATGCATTGTCGTTCTTCTGCTTTTCTTCAGGCGTTTTCACAATCCACCTGAATCATGCCAATTCCCTACATCTCTTACAAGTGACGCTATGTCATCTGGCTCGATTTTCGTTCATTCTTCTGTAACTACCCTCAACTCTTTCTGTTGAGATGCTGCAATACCTCAAACTCTTTTTTGACTTCTTAATAATGCAATATTTTTTGAATACAATCTTACATTTGCATTAGAGGACCTTATACTCAGATTTTGATTCCTTTTCTCTCTGGTGCTGGCCTCTCCTTTATTCGATATGCATGAACTTTCCATCTGCTTAGCTCCCAAAGCGGTCGTATTCGTCGACCTAATACTCGAGTGACAATTCCTAGGATCCATTTGTCCCTCTTTGGTATTATTAATGTGCACTTGCCAATCTTCCACGAGATTCTTTTTTCCTCCTCTTATGATACATTATTGATTTAAAATGCGGCTTCTTCCGATACAGAAGCCGACTGAATTTAGTTCCGATATGGAGAGGACGGTCTCGACGTCATGAAATCAACATACATAAGCCCGAAGACATTTCCTTTCCTCAAGGACAATCTGGATGCTGTTATACATTGCTCGAAACCAGAGGAAGCCCGAGATTATGATTATAACGTTGAAGCTGCAGAAAAGCAGTACCGTAGGGTAGGATCTTTGCCGTGGCTCTGTTCAAGTGTTCTTGCTATTTTCTTCATTTTTAGATTCAAAAATGGCGGAAAAAGTCGGCTATCGATGGTGCTGTACGGACGAAAAAGGTGTACATATCTGGATTCACGGAGTTTTCTGCAGACCAAATCGGTGTCCAAAAGGAACGAATTGTGGGCATGTGGGCAGAAATGGACCGAACTGAAAGAGAAGTGTACGAAAAGAGGGCTCCACGAAAGTGTCCGCATGCAGTTGATGAGGTTGGTGTATACACATGCAGAATTCAATAGGCGCACTCTCACGCTATCGCTGGCGCGTTGGCTGGAGCAGTGAGAAGGGGCTAGTCATGAGGGAATGGAATTTTGCGAATTACCGCCTGCATTAAGCATGAGATGTAGTTGGTTGTGATTCAGATTTGATGAGTCACTATAGACTTCATAGAGTCTAATTTTTTTCTAATCCTAATTTCTAGTTATAATTCGTTCATTATGTTTCAGGAGTTCAATGTGAACAGCACCCTGGGAGCACTACCGGAGAAAACACTGGACTCCATTAATAAATTCGCTGGTAAAAACGATAGGCTTCGGCGATCTCTTTTCTGGAAAGGTGTGAATCACTTCGTTTTGTAAACGATCACATTAAAATTCCTGACAGACGTTGTAATATTCCAAGACTCATGGACGACGTGTCGTTTAGGTATGCGCTCCTTGGCCGAGCCTGGTGAAAACGTCGGTTTATTGGCTGCACAGTCAATAGGAGAACCATCAACGCAAATGACACTGAACACATTCCACTTCGCTGGTAGAGGAGAAATGAACGTAACTTTGGGTATTCCACGTCTACGCGAAATTCTTATGACGGCATCTGATAACATTGCTACTCCAAACGCGAAGGTTAGTAGTTCTTTTTGCCCAGTTATGAATATTCACTTCTTTCCTGACCATCAAGAAGTGGCAGATCGTTTACACTCAGATACATTTTTACGGTTGTTCGCTTCTTTACTCGTAATTTTGATTACATTATGATATGGAGACGTAGTTTCAAAATAGGGTGACTGTTATAGATTCCCATATTACCTGGCACGACAAGAGAACGTATTGATGCGATTCGAAGAGAGCTGGATAGAGTGTTCTTGAAGCAAGTACTTCGGAATTTTTCTTTCGAAGAGAGAGTAAATCTAACGAGCAGGTGGGGTTTTTACCTCTATTTTTTTCAAATTACTGACAAAAATCAAGTTCATGGTGCACACTGGAGATTAACTAATGTCCGCATTTTTGTACCTTTTGTCGTGGGCGTATTACTTGATTGTATTAGCCACTTTTTTGACAGATTATCACACAATCTTCTGCACAAATTAGTTCTGAATTTTTTCTGTTCCTCATATGCAACGATTTCTCTCACGGCCGACGTGCTCGCTCTCCATGTCAAGGCGCATTTTTTTCTGCTATGCTGCAATTTTTTTCGAATTCGTAACAAGGTGTCGCCTGTGTAAGTGCGGAGTACGCAGCGTACTCTTTCATCCTTCAATGATGGATGGAATGTGGTCAGACAGTGGCAAAAGTTGCCATGGTGGTTCACTGAAGTGGTGGTTTTGCCATGATCTTTTCTGTGAAATAGATATTGAATTACTGACTTCACAATGTATTCATCCACCATTTGCCTTTGGCTAACCTATTTTCTAAGGTCATGCATTGAAGATATTCTTCCAATACCTTCCCTTACTTCTATGTTAAATTCTTCATGGCATCAATGATTATTTCATCCGTTTCGACTTTTATGTCGGCTATGCTATAACTCATAAAATTTCGAAATTTCGTATGCATATAGTTGCAATTTTCGACCGACCATGGCCCGAAAGGTAGTATCTGTTCCAGACATGACAGTAAAGGTAGTAGCGTAGTGATAATCACTGAGAGTCCGGCCATTCGAAACGGGGTGTGAGCCATTGCATCCTCTTGGGACGCTAAGCTTGGATGCTTTCCTGCCTGCTGAACTATTTTCTCAGCGGAGTTATTAAGCAGAAAAGCGCAGTGGTAGTGGTCTGGGTTCACAGGCAAGAAGTCGTTGGATTGACTTGTTGAAGACTTTTTTCTTCTGTTCTTTTCGGCTACATAGGCAATACTTTTGTCATCTTTACATCAGTGCATGCCTACAGATGCCTTATAAGGAACCCATTGGAGTAGAAACCTGCATTATCACGGAGTGCCTGCTATCTCTATTTCAGATCTGTTAATTAAGTGGACTATTTTTTCCTTTATTCCTTCAATTATGCTTTTCTATTTGACATATCCTTATTTGCAGTTGGGTTTCAGTGATTGCTGGAGACGATACCGCTTGAGGATCGAAATTCTTCTCCAGCGCTAAACGAGAACAGAACGCCAAACATCTCAAACGAAAAGTGATTTTGCAGGAGGTCCTTGAAGCAACATTTCAATCTTTTTTCCTGTTTTACTCCTTGTAGCTCCAATTTTTTCATGTTATATGGAAGCTGTTTAGCTTGAGCGTCGGTTTTTGCGTTCGTTGGCAGCCGCGATTAACAAGAAGT